TTTTTTTAGTTTGTTTTTTTTATTAATTGTATTATTGACTTATGCCATAATTGTATGTTTGTTTATTTCGGGGGAAAAAAAATCAATAAAGTTTGTTTAAAAAAAAAACAAAACTTATTAACATTATATCATTATTTTTTTTCAAACTATAGTCCTCCCCCCAACAATGTCAGGGACAATGAACTGGCCCCGTTTAAAAAGTTTGAGGACCCCTGCACTAGAAACTCTCTAAGGGCCTTTACAATTCCCTAAGCTGTAATGCAGGATGCAATACTATCCTTGCAGTGTGCCCATATCATCTAGTCTTAAATGCTTCCAGCAAAAAATGTTCACCTCTCGCAAGGCAGCCTGTCCCATTTGCAAACACTCTTTGGGATCCATGTGATCAGAATTATTACAGCTGGCAAATCTCTTGCAGCCTGGCATACTTGCTATTTAGTTCAGTTCATGAGAAATCTGGTGAATACAGCAAGGCTCAGACTTTTATAGACTTCAAACTGAAACAATTTACATTTTTTTTCAGGGTGGCATTCAGTAGTTCTCCTCGCAAATCTGTATTATGGCTGCTGCATCTTTATACTAGCATTCACAGAAGATCCTGAAAATTGTATGCATGTAAAATTTTACATGCATACAGTATCTATATGAGTAAGGCAATTTAGCGCCCTCACCTAATCATTCTGGTTGCCTTCGACACATAGAGGATGATTGTTCAGAAGGATCCCGATTAGCCACAGATGTTCTCCATGTATTTTAGAAACTGACTTTGCAGGGAGTAGGGTTAGATTATTCACTCTAATAATCTGCATTCACATATTGATAAGGTATAGCAGTCATGGTATTTGGAGAGAACATTAATTGGGATACAGAGGAAGAGAATAGGATGTGTTGGTGCTTAAAGTGAGGTGAATATTGGTTAGAAATTGGCAAGAGAGTATGGATACAACACAAGAAGAAAGTAAAGATGGAGCATGGCTGGGGAAGTGAAGTTCAAGGAATGCAGAAGAAGAATATAACGCCTGAGAGGAAAGAGATAGATAATAAAATTGGAATAGAAGATTGGGAAGAGAATTTCAAACAACTGTCCACTTAATAAACAGCTGAGCTTTGGAAGACAAGGAGACATGACAATTTAATGATTGAATAGCTTTGGTTTAACAGAGTGAATGACTGGCAATAACCGTATCACCACAATTGAGAGAGGGTGTGGTATTGCCAGGAGCAGGAGACAAAAATTGCCTATTACAGTATACATCTCTTTCTGACTTGGGTTTCAGGACCATCAGACCCAAATGGATTTTTCCTGCCCAAAAATAGTTAAAGAAAACAGACTTGGAAACACGCTTTCTGGATAGATGCCTCCTAATTCTGGAATAGCTTGCCCTCCAAGATAAAAATAGCCCCTTCCCTGTTGACGTTCCAGAAGGCAATGCAAACTGTACTTTTCCAACAAGCCTTTGGGACAGAGGGAATTATGTGAACGGGATTAATCTTACTGACTGCATCCCATGTTGAGCTTTTGTGCTTTGATTTATTCTTAATGTAATCCTCCTGGCATCTTTGGAGCAGCCAGCATAGATATTCGTGTGTGAATAAATGAGTATACTTAAATTGCCTGAAGATGACTTTCGTCATTTACATTTTTCCTCAAACACCAATTTCAATTTGATTTTTTTTCTATGGATATTAGTTTTGAATTAGATTTCTCCTTACAACAAACTTTCAACAGGAGCAACTGGGGTTAATTAATTTCTGTTCTGAAAGAAAAACCAGTCATATCTACAAGCAGCTGGTTTCATTCAGCAATCACATGTTCTAAGGGTTTATAAGCTATCAAAGGAATGTATAAGTAGTGAAAATAATTCCTTTTGTTATTACTCTTTTAACTCTTAGTTTTAATATACTTATAAGACTGTAAGGCACACAGTTATGAGTGAGATAATTGCTTTGGCTTGGAAAGTTTCTAGTCAAATTTTTCACTATACTATATTAAGACTTGCCTTAATATTATAATTAAGTATTCACTGGTCCCTAATATTTAGGGCCCTCTTACTTTACTGAGTAACAAATATTGTATACTCAATTGCTAAATGATAATTGTAAAATATACTAATGCAAAATGGAAGCTCCAGTGAGATGGAGAAGGGGAATGAAAAGAACTCTGGACAATGAACAATTTATCTTCCTAATAGATATTACTCTAGAAGCCTAGATAATTTTCACTCACCTTTTTTAACTTAGGAAGAAAGCCATCAGAATATGCCTTCACCACCTGGGTTGCCACATTTCTCTTGAGTTTCCAAGAGGAAATACCCAAGTTGCTGGGGCAGGCGAGCAAGCAATAGGAAAGGAAAATATACTTTTTAAAAACAAAAAAAAAAACTGAAGAATGCTCAACAGGGCAAAATAAGTCTGCTACAAGAAATAAAACATAGAATCTTAAGCAACATAAATTTTTTCCAATTGGGCAAGATTTCAATTTTTTTGTTTTAATGATCAGCTCATTCAGGTCTAAAAATCCTAGTAGCTCTAGGGATTAATGTAATAAAACACAGAGAACCTGATGCCACCCAATTCCCTTGTATACATAATTTTCCCCACCAGTTTTAACATCAGATAATGCCAATCAGCTTTCACTCTTAATTAGACATCTGAATAAATCTGAAGTGTTTGGCTGAAATCTCTAGTTAAAAGCAAACTCTGCTTCGGCACAATCATTCTTAAAATTGGTAAAGGGAATAAAAAACAAGTTAAATTTGTGCAGGGAGAGGATCCTGGATGAAAGTGAGGACACTACCCATAAACAAAGTTAAAGCATGATGAGTATTATTCTACACAGGTTTTAAGTATCAACAGAGGTGTTAAATATTGAGTTAAATATTTATTTCATTTGTATTTCATTTTTGTTAATTCTCACCTGCCTGACTGGCCTGGAGTTTTTATTTGACCAGGCTGGTCTTCACTTACTGGAGAAATGATATCAAATTGTATAGGTGTGTCAGGTGCAACAATCGAGTCCAAGGAAAGTGCGGATAGTGATGCCGAATCAGATCCCAAAGATCCAGTGCTACTCGTACGATTTGTGGGAGGCCGAGGCTGTCTGAAAAAGCAAGAAAAGTAGGGAACAGCTCAACCTTCTTAACCATCTCTTTCATTTCAGCAGAAAAGAACTGACCAAATTCAGAAGTCAAATATTTTCTTACAAATAACGAAAGGCAATCTATTATCCAAACAATAGAATAGTCTCAACTAAATAATTTGGAGACAAATATCTCGATGAGAATAAACGTGAAATAGAATGTATCATGAAATACATGTAAAAGGAGAAGTGTAACCTTCAAGCTAACAAACTGAACACTTGAGGTCATCAAAATTATCAACTAAATCTAGCAAGAATATTTAATGGCAGCAGCAAAATTTCTCAAATTAATACAAATGCCCAATAAAACTTCAATTTTATATGGTTGTGGCTTGAGAAAAATAAATTCTGTAGGATGAATAAGCTAGCGTTTTAATTTTAAATTCTGAATCTTTAACAAGACAATAACTAGGAAAAGCAAACTAGTGCCTAATTAAGGATCAGTGATTCCTCTCAGGTTATTAAATGAAATAGTAGGGAAAACTGAGCCAGAAATGTTACGAATAGAAACTGAATGAAATATAGCAGAAACCAGAGATTAGAAGAGCTGGGTCAAAAGTAAGGTCATGATTACTGTTCTTTCCAATAGTATCTACTAATGATCAAATGATGTGAAAGTATTTTGCCCACAAATATAATAATCAAAAGATCATATCATATCACAGATTTCCTATTTAAAATGCTATGGGAGAAAAGAGACAAAGTAACAATTATACATTTTAATAGCAACTATAAAATTTTGGGACTTATTAATAGCAGCACTTTGCATATTTTGAAAATAATTTGAAAGAAGTCCAGCAGCTCAACTTTACTTGGGCTTTCACACAAACCTGAAAAGAGATGTTGTTTTAAAATCACATTAACTCCAATGGGTGGATTCTTTAAAGCGGCAACACTTTCTATTTAAGCTTGATTCTGGAAGAATCAATGTTAACAGCACATGAATGATAAAATCTAGACTACTCCTCAGATAAATTTCAGAAGATTTTATTCATTTGTAACTGTCCACAAATTATAGTATATTTTTAATAATTAAATTTAAAAGGATATACATTCCAGTTGCAGTTTCATTGCAAAATTTAAATAGTTGTATTTTGCAGTAGCTTTCGATGAATTAAAAAAATATTTTACAAAATATGAAATGTGTCTTTCCTGCTGTTTGGTGACTTACATAATTGGCCTCATGCTTTCATGTCTCTGCTGGAAGGAAGGTGAGGGAGTGACAGCCTCTAAAGCTGACTGATTTACGCGGGCAGCAATTTCCTATATTGTTAGAAGAAAAACAATTTTTTTTTCATTTAATTAGATCTAAAAATAAATGAATGTATGAAGATTTTTAGTAAGCACAGCAACTAATTGAGTAGACATATTGAAATGATTTTTTGTTAGAAACATGAATTTATGAAAACATAGCGGTTAATTATTTCTATTGAGGAACACTGCTAAGCATACAGCGTGGACCCAGAATCAATTATTAGGGGTCTTTGGGCAATGTAACTTATTTTTTCTATATTCATCTGCCATTGCAGGTAGAAAAATTGACCCTCCTCTAAGCAAGCCATCATACCCAAAAACATTCTCCATTCAAACTGGAACAAGGCCTTTAATGCCAATGGAAGCTTTCCCAACCACAAATTAACCATGTAAATAGTGATTTCCATCCAAGAAAGAAAAAGGAAGTAGTGGAAAAAGGGACAAAGACAAGAAAGTTGGGAATAAAAGGAAAGTGATATAAAGTCATATGTATGTGTACAAGAAACAAACGAAAGAACATATATACAATTGGATATCTTACGTGAGATATAAACTCAAGATTGAAAAGCTAAAATAAAATAATAAAATAAAATCCCATCTTCCACCAACCCAGTCTTTATTTCTTCTTTCTCTTTCTCAATCACTACACTTTTTGTAGTGCAGTTTCTTTGCTCCATTAAAATGAAACTGCAGAATTGGGCTTCCGGTTTGACATTGTGGTGTAACAGGTGCAGGAAGACGGGCCTCCGTCTTTTGCGTTCGATTTCACCCCACTGAGGACCCGTCAAAAGTCGCCCCGTATAGGCAACAAGCAAGGAGGGGAACCTCATTAATCACGGGAGGGCGGCAGCCCTTCCGTCTGATCCAAGGAAGCCCTCCAAACCGGCGGGGGAAAGACTGGCTACATTGGTGTATCCATTCAGAAGCTGCTGACAACGGAAGACAATAAGCACTAACAAGCAACTTTTCAGCAACATGGATGAAACTGAGTGAGACCCTATCCTCTCTTTATGACTCTAAGAGTTCTTCCTGGAAAAAATTGCCCAAAGCGTCCTCCCCGAGAGAGGGAAGGGAAATTTCCACCCCATTCCATCAGGAAAAGAAAAGCGGCAAACTAATTACTTGAGGGAAACAGGGAAAATTACAAGATTAATTTGGAATTAATACACATATATGGCTTTGAAATTTGGGGACTAAAAGTGCTTTTGAGACTCTTTTTTTTTTTTTTTTTAAAGAGATTTGTAAAGCTTGTACTATAAGTTTGGATTTAAAAAGCTGGAAAACGGCACTAATGACATCTAGTGGCGAATTATGACACTACAATTTGTTATGCCTAAAGGAAACTTGGCTTGAAGCCCAGATTTAGATAAGACTCTTGCTAACCTTGGAAACTTTCACTTTTAAAGACGGCAGCTGGGAAAAGGGGAAAAACACCCTTTTGGGCTGCTTATCAGTGTGGCAGAGATGATGAACTACTTTGAAAACAGCCTGCCTGAAATATGAATATAAATATTAACTGACTTTCAGAGCTGTGTTCTGGAACTATTTCCCTGCAGGAGAAACACACCTCATTGTTTGAGATGGAATATTTGGATTACAAATCTTTGATTGATGAACAATTTTTATTATAAAGACCACCTACAAAAAATGAAATGGATGTCCCATACTCAGCTTTAAATTGTAAAAAACCATCTCTAACACCTGTCCCCAAAATCTTCAGTTTGATATACCACCAAGAAAATATGAAGATCAGAAAGAAATTCTCTCCATGTTGAAATCAATACAACAGACTATTGCTTTAGCTCGTGATGAGACTAGAAATAACACAAAGAACAATTTTCTAATCTAAATTTACAAACCAAGAACGTGACTACAAAGAAGGAACTAGCAACTCAGAAAAAAGAAGGAAAACTGGAGGAAGCAGATCCAAAGATGGAGGACATGAAGGAAGGAACTAACCAACAGATTCAGACAACTGAAGAACTAGAAGACGGAGCGATAATATCGGAAATGGAAAAGACATCTTACCAATCAAGAATGCAGAACACATTTGAGGAAAAGGAAGAAGAACTGATTGAATGGAAGATAGAGCTGTTAGGAGAACTGTGGGGAATTGGAGAAGGAAGGAGGCTGTTTAATGAATATCAATGGGTTTGTTCTTCCAAAAATACTTTAACCAAATGGTCTTTCTTATTCCAAATAATGTACACAAAAACAGAGAAAAAATTACTTGATGATTCAAATGCATTGACTTGGAAAGTTAGTTGGTAAAGGAAGAAAGCTAGAGTAAGACTGAAAATAGAGGTTTTGATCCATTAGATGGGATATTATATTATTAACTAGATGTTTGAATATGGTGGAGAATAGATAACTGCTAGAAATAGAAGTATTATCATAACTAGAAAGATAAGATTTCTAATTAGAATATTAGATTTTGGTATGAGAAGGTAAATAGGAAAATGTTAAGAAGTTTGAATAAGAAAAGCTTTTGGTTACCCAAATACAACTTACTTTGAAATTATAAACAATAGAGACATTTTGAACACTGAGGGGAAATTTAAAAAAAAGTGAAAACAGGATACTGATTGAACATATGGATATTAAGTGCAAATGCAATTAAGATATGTTTTGGTTAGAAAAGTTATCTAAAACTGATATTATTAATATTATGAGAAAAATGTAACAAAGATGTTGATATTCAATTGTATATTTATTAATAACAATAAGAATTGTATTTGCCTAGTGTGGGAAAACAGGTACTACCAGAATAAGAGAAGAAACATTTGATGGTGTAATATTGGATCTAGATTGAAGAAGTTAATATATACTACTGAATTACTAATGGACCTAGACAACACGTTGTCTATTAAGTATTTGACTGTAAAACTAGAAAATTAATATTTATAAAAAAAATGTACGGTAACTGCAGAATTAAAACCATTTTTTTCTCTCAATCTGCATAAACAACGAATTTTAATCTCAATATTTATTTCAATATTCCAACGTACTCTGGAATCAAATGTTTCCTCAAATTTAAATTTAAATTTCCCATCAAACAGTGTTTTGTTTTTTATATTAAAGGAGTACAATCACATTACCTCTGGGTTTTCGCTAAGGTAAATCTGTTTCGAGATATTGTTTATTGTACATATCCACTGGAAAAAAAGTTTAAAATATAGTTAATTTTCTGCCCATTATATATTTTCCAATTCTAGATTATGGTTAAGAAATTAAAAACATGGTAAATGCTTTAGTCTGATCAGAAGAATAACTTTTATCATTAGAAATTAACAAAAAGAGGTGCCAGATTATGAATTTTTTCAGATAAGTAAATCTCACCTTGCCCTTAACCTATAACTCTCCAATAACAAATAATAAAATACAGTTGACATGTTAACAATCTTTGCACACACAGTCTAAGTTAACAATAAGCCACACACAAGATATTTACAATTAGTTTCCAAACTACAGAGCAGGCAGAGGAAATTTGTGACTCTCCAGATGATGTTAAACTCCATTTGTTTCATGCAATTAATCATGTTTGCATGAAACATGCAAATTGTGGTTCTACAACTTTTGGGCCTTATAGTTTCTCCAAAACTACCACAGAAGCAAAAGAAAAATTCATGCATTTTTTAAAAAAATCATCTTTAAATAAAATTTCCATCTGTCTAGCTGAATTTTTCCTCTTGGTTTTTTTTAATGATTTCAATAATGGAAGTGAGAAACCACAGGCTTGCTAAATGTGAAATAATCCACACAAGATGCAGATTTAATATTAAACCAGCAATGTGGCATATCTGAAATTCTTTTCCCTGCATTGATTACTTAGCACTGAGAGCAGCAAGTTTCAAACCTATTTTAAACTGCCTTGTTATAGCTAAGGACAAGGTGAGAACTTTCCACTCTGCCTTTCTTTTGGCTTGCAAGCTGGCACAATTCCCAATTTTATGATAAAGTTGATGCCTGAATTGAAATCTACCTAAATCTAAGTTTCACCACTGTGTGGTAAATCACAAACTGCTTGTGATCTAAATTCTTTTTAAAAATATGAGGAAAAAAACCCCACCCTTCTTTTGAATGCAAGCCTTTAGGCTACAAACCATACAATGCTTTGGCAGTCTTCATCTTTCCATGTCATCAGCATATAAAATTATTCTGCTCTTTAAAACTGCCCTGATAATTAGCACCAGAAATGTAATTTGGAAACCATTTACAGGTAGTCCTCAAATTACAACAGTTCATTTAGTGACTGTTCAGTTACAATGTCACTGGAAAAAAGTTATTTATGTCCATTTTTCATACTTATGACCATGGTCACTTCATCAAATTTTGGATGCTGGGCAACTGGTTCATATTTATGGCGGGGTCATGTGATCATCTTTTGCAATCTTCTGACAAGCAAAGTCAATGAGGAA